CGGGCGGAGCCACATTTCCTGAGAACACCCATTGTTGTTACGATTGGTCAGCTGCAATAAATCAGTTTTATCATCATAGTATGGATTTTAGTTGAGTCACCCGAGCCACCCGTTCTCTGTATACATCCTTAGAGTAACCACGTTGTACTTTTTTGTTTGTCATTCATTTTATTTAAGTATGATTTTGCTGGTTTTGAAACAAAAAGGGGACATAATACACTCTTTCCAAATTATTACTTTTGGAGGTCATTTACAACAATCGGCTGAAATAATGAAAATAAATCATCCGTTTTATTATCATTTAAAAGTATATAAAAACGTTTTAAAATGAAAACCTATAAGATGTCCAATCCAAAAATAGAAAATACATACATACTGAAAATATCTTCACTCTTCCTCTGCTTATACAGTGCCTTGCATAAGTATTCACCCCCCTTGGATGTTTCATCCTTTTGTTGCTTTTATACATGAAATCATGGTCAATATAATTTGGCTCTTTTGACAAGAATTTGCAAAAAAAACCCTCTTTAATATCAAAGTGAAAACAGATTTTTACAAAATAATGTCAATTAGTTAAAAATATATAAGGTAAAGTAAAGATTGCATAAGTATTCACCCCCTTCAGGTCAGTATTTAGTAAATGCACCTTTGGCTGCAATCACAGCACTGAGTGTGTGTGGATATGTCTCACTCAGGCTGGCACATCTGGACACTAAGATTTTTCTCTATTCTTCGTCAAAACAGCTCAAGCTCTGTCAGGCTACTTAGGGATCGGGCGTGAACAGCTCTTCTCAAGTCCAGCCACAAATTTGCAATTGGATTGAGGTCTGGGCTTTGACTTGGCCACTCCAGAACATTCACCTTGTGGTCTTTGAACCATTCTGTGTAGCTTTTGCTGTATGCTTGGGGTCGTTGCCTTGCTGGAGAATAAATCTTCTCCCAAGTCGTAGTTCTCTTGCAGACTGAGTCAGATTATCCTCCAGGATTTGTGGATATTTTTCTGCATTCATGTTCCCCTCTACCTTTACAAGCCTCCCAGGGTCTGCTGCTGAGAAGCATCCACAGAGCATGATGCTGCCACCACCATGCTTCACGGTGGACATGGTGCGTTTGTGGTGATGTGCAGTGTTTGGTGTTCACCAAACATAGCGTCTAGTCTGATGGCCAAAAAGCTACATTTTTGTCTCATGAGACCAAAGAACCTTCTTCCAATTGACATTGGAGTCTCCCACATGCCTTTGGGCGAATTCTTTCTACAGTGGCTTTCTCTTTGTGACACCTGATCGTTTCTTACAATATACCGTCATGCCATTTGGTATGTGTAATGCTCCTGCTACTTTCCAAAGGGTAGTAAATGAAGTACTGGGAGACGTTCCACACTGCAGAGCATATCTTGACGATATTGTAGTCTATTCTGATGACTGGGTTGGTCACATGACTACATTGAGAGAGGTTTTCAAGCGTCTTTCTACTGCATCCCTAACACTCAATCTTGCCAAATGTGAGTTTGGAAAAGGAACTGTTCTCTATCATGGTCAGCAGGTTGGTCGAGGACAGGTTCGTCCTGCGGAGGCCAAGATCGCAGCCATTGCGACATTTCCTGCACCAACCACCAGGAGAGAGCTGCGCGGTTTCCTTGGGATGGCAGGATATTATAGACGGTTCTGCAAAAACCTCTCCTCTGTAGCAGCCCCACTGACTGATTTAACCAGTCCCGCGAAGCCCTTTGTGTGGTCTAGTGAGTGCAATCAGTCTTTTGAAAGTGTTAAGAGTATAATGTGTTGCACTCCTGTCCTGACTGCCCCAGATTTCTCTTCGCCTTTCAAACTGGAAGTTGATGCCAGTGCGGTTGGAGCTGGGGCAGTTCTTCTGCAAGAGGATGACCAGGGCATCGATCATCCTGTGAGTTACTTCTCCCGGAAGTTCAACAAACATCAACTTAGATATTCCACAATAGAGAACGAAGCTCGAGCAATGTTGTTCGCCCTACAACATTTTGAGGTTTACCTTGGGTCAAGTGTTAAGCCTATTAAAGTTTTCACCGATCATAACCCACTTGTGTTCATCTCCAGGATGTATAACTACAACCAGCGTCTTATGCGTTGGTCTCTAATCATTCAAAACTACAATCTAGAAATCATTCATAAAAAGGGGTCTGAAAATGTTCTTGCGGATGCTTTGTCGCGTGCACTGTAGAATCAAACATTATGTTTGAGCTTATATGGGTGGGGGTATTACATGTTGTGTTTTCTCCCCTCCTGCCCTTCCTTTTTTCTCTCCCCCTCAGTGAGTCTCCTATCCTGGCAATCAGTTTATTGGGTTCCACCTGTGGGGGCCGGTCGTGCTACTCGGTGGGTTGCACCAACTGCAGGCTGGCCAATCGGCAGATGGGGAGCCGAAGAGAAAAGCAGGAAGACTCAGGAGTTGAGCTGGGTCTGGTCTTCAATTGTCGATGCTGCGAGCTAGACTTCAGGTTACCGTTTGTCGGGAGAGGTTGCGGACAGTAGGTGAGTCTGGAGTACCCTTTACATTGGCGCAAATGTAGTTGATTTTCTGTGTCTAGATACACTAGGCTTATTGGTCGGTGCCCCATCTGTATTTGGTTTTGGTCGAGTACATTTAGATAAGCTAGCAAAGCCATTTTGTTTGTTTGATTTCAGAGGTTAGTTAGTTAGGCCAAGTTCAGTTATGTTGGTTTCAATTGTTTGGCACGACCACACCTGTCCCATCCTCTCCCACACTGTGTTGAGGCTCACTAAAATGTAACTGTACGTGAGCAAAATAAATATTGTTTGCGGAACACGGGCTATTTGTTTATCATTTGGATTGTTTTATGTTGGTCCCTAATCCTCCCCTGGACCAACAGAAAAGGAACGTAACAGTATGCAGAAGACTTTCAAAGTTGAGGAGGTTTGAGAGGATTTGCTCCATAGAGAATCAATGAAGAAAAGCTTAATATTTCAAAAAGCATAAGAGGTAACCGGCATGTCCTTAAAGAGCTGAATATTTTGATAGTTGAACGTTTTTTGTAGCTGAAAGTATGCAGAAGAAGAAATTAAGATAAAGATTATGATAACAATACATGTTTGTTGGAATGCTGATGTGGAGCCAGCCTCGTGTACACAAAGGTGAAAGATAAGCAGAGCGCGAAGAGTGATCAATAAAAAACAACACGATTGATGTGCAGATAAGCACAGAGGCTCGTTTCACAACAGTCTGATGCTGGTTGCACAAACTGTAGCCGTCAGATGTGCCGTGAGTAAATGTGGCTTGACCGTGCTCAACATCCCTCCACTTAGAATTTGGGCCTCAAAATTCATATTGTTTCTCTGAATGGCCACTCCTGGAATCTGTAGAAAACAACCAATCAGAGAAAAGGACTCTCTAACACAGCTGTCAATCACTGCTTGTGAGGCTCGTGAACTCTGGTCAAACTGTCAAACTAGGCAGCGATGATCAAATATGAATCAAGTTTCTCTTTCTTTTTAAGAAGCATATTTCGCTTTGCTGTAAAATGAGAGTTTGTGACCCATATGTGACCCGTTAGTGACGAAATATGTTTATGACAACATTTGAGAAATGCGGTAACAGAATATTGATTTATATTTGATCAGCACTGCTTGTTTTGACAGTTTGATCTGAGTTCACAAGCAGTGATTGACAGCTGCGTTGGAGGCTGCACAGCTCTGATTGGTTCTTTTCCTTCGGACGAGGTGGAATTTTGCAGATGGCTCTGTTACCTCGACTGAATGATTTAAATGGGGAGAAATGGATTTCCATTTCGTTATTGGTAGCTGTATCAGTGCAACTGAAGATGAGAGTCAAGACCCAACACTTGGGAGAATGATAAGATGTTATGCATGCAGCCTAACCTGAGCAGGGTGTCGGTTGTACAGCTGTCATCATGAGACACCCTGTAGCCCACCTCCAGACCAAGACTGAGGTCCATCTCATCAGCCACGCGAAGGGCCAGACTCACCGCCGTCACCGAAGAGGGCTGGGAACAACACACCAGGCCCTGAGAAAACTCATAGGACAAAGCATACTCCACACACCACTGTGGCACCTGCAGGGAGAAGAAAAGAAAGACGGAGGTTTTAATCAGTTTTTTTTTAGAAGCACACCCACTTTAAAAAGAAGTACTTGAACATGAAGGTGGAGCGGCTAAGTCTTTGTACAGTGGATGGACCATCCATCTTAACCAATTACAAGTAGTCCTCATTAAATGATTGTTTCAGCCAACAACCCGAGAAACAGACTAATATCATCTTTATAAAGTTGTTATGGCCAACACCTTAGCATACGGTTACCTATTTATACATCCATCCGACACAATGCAACATCAACATTCATTTGGGGTTGTTTGTGTCCACCCGATGCATGTAGTGACAATATTCACTCTCTTTCTGGCTCTGCTTCGGCTTCCAGTAACTCCCGAGGAAAACATCTAAAATATTACATTTGGATTACACTTTGAGTAGTACCAGTCGTTCTAATTCAATCCTGAGTGAGAGGAAAGGTAGCAGACAACAGGAAGAGTAAGGCCAAAGGGACAGTGTCACCACGTTGATAGAGAGGTTGTGTTTTGTCCTTGGGAAACACCTGGCAGTAGCATTAACAGTGCAGACAGAGGAAGGAGGTGGGAAGGGGATTCTTGATGAAATAAGTCTTCAGGTTAACTCTGCTGTAGGCACATTTTAACGTTCTGATGTGTTCACATGTAATCTCGTAAAATGTAGTGTTGGTGAGAAACTTGAATAAATCCAGATGTTTGAAGGAGATGTTTTCACAACATAAATGGATATTAGAGCTGAATTATGAGCTGTTAACACTAGCTCTAAGCAGATTATAATACATCGTTACAACTACTAATGACACGTTTCATTTAATCAATGAAAATACAATCTTTTATTTCCTTATCATTTGAATTGTGTTGACGAAGAAACAAAAACACCATAAATGACTTTAACAAAGTAAAACTGTAACATTTAGAATGTTTGATGGTTTACTGACTTCAGAGCGGTTAAATGATTTTTTGGACTGTGGTAAATAATAAATAGTCTGGAGCCTTGTAGACCAGAGGTTTATGATCCGATGCATCACTAGTTGGTAACAATAATGTAAAGTCATTCTCTGTGGGGTGTAAGCCTAACCCTCGCTCCTCTGTCTGTGCCCAACATTATAGAACAAAGATGGAGCATGAAGCCATTATTGCTGTGTTTCAATAGCCCGGTTATTCTTCTGCTGGGATTTTGTTGTTACCTTTTGTGCCACAGACTCAATTAATCCTCAATACGACCAAACTGTATAGCAGCCAAGACAGCTTCACACAATGCCACTTAAGGACACGTGCAAATAGACAAACGCAAGCAAATGAAGGAAACCTCTCTATCACTCTGACACCACAAAGCAGTAGACGGAAACACACATCTCTAGGAGATCCAACTCAAAGTCAGGGAGACACTGACAACTGATAAATGGTTCCAACCATTCACCCAATAACGTTGGAAAATGATTCCAATATCACTGGATATATTGTGGATGTGCATTGTAAATGTATAAGTATATTTACTCAAGTACTGCACTTAAGTACAGTTCTGAGGTATTTGTACTTCACTTGAGTATTTCCATTTTGTGCTGCTCAACACTTTTCCTCCACTGAACTTCAGAGGGAAAAAAGAAGTTATTACTCCATTACGTTTATATAAGTACAACACAGGTATTGTTACAGGTGACTTTGTAGATTAAGATCTTACATATAAAACATGTGATCAGTTTAAACATAGGATGCATTTGTTACATAAGTAAAGGATTTGAATACTTCTTTCACCGCTGTTGGCTATATAACTAGCATTAGCCTGCTGTTGATTATTTCGTGCGTTTGTCTTTATATCACATATCTGTTGTTGAATTGCAGAATGTGATTCAATGTGAATGTGCTTGTGTTTTATCTATGTGTCAAAGTGGTGAAAGAGCAGTTACCTTCATTCAGTGTGCAGTGCATTGAGCTCAAATTGTGTCTGCAGAACAGCAAATTAAAACATTTGTCTTATTTTCAGTGTCCGATTTAAAGTTCTCATGTTAACAGACACTGATGCATGTTTGGCTTATGGTGTTGCATGACAAACAGCTTAGTAAAGAAGTGACAGTTGTTCTTAGTAAAGTAAGAATGACTTTCTCCCTCATAACAGTGTTGAGGAAATGTTATAGTGGTATCAAAAACATGGCTAAATAGTAGCATAATGATGGTGAATAAGACACTGTCTAAGAACAGAACAGGTTCATGTTAAGAGTTTGAGCTGAATAAATCTCGGTGACTCCATACACTACATGTGATGTCCCTGTTGGATCCTGGTTACCTGGGTGCTTTTTCCAGCTCCACTCGATGCACTGAGCAGCAGCATGTTGTGGCTCTCCAGGTGCTCCAGCAGACTCTGCCTGAGCCTCCAGATGGGAAACTGCCGCCTCTCTTCCAGCAGGGCGTAGTAGCGCGAAGAAAAAGGCAAACCGTCATAAGGGTTCACTTCTAGGTCTCCGAGCCCATCCTCCTCCCCTCCTCCTCTTCCTCCATCACCTTCATTGTCTAAATCCCCAGACAGGAGGGAAGACATGGACAGGGAGTCCAGGGCAGCAAAGGGCCACACTCGGGACAGGGAGGTGGCTGGGGGCTCTGCTGGTGGCGATGACATTGCCAGCAGGGGTGGGTGAGGGGCTGGTTCACAGAGAGGCCTGAGATCACCTGCAGAGGGACAAAAACACAAGAAGCAAAGGAGGGAGTCAGGAGGTGATGCTCTAACGTCCCTTAGAAACAACATGGATGTCACTTGTGTTTTCTCCTTTCCCTTTAACAGGCCCTGTTAAAGGGACAGACAGCATGTTTGGTATCCAACTGTGGAATGCTTGACTCCACCCAGATGCCTCTGTCTGTCTGTCTCAGTCAACAGACATGATCTGTGGAACAGCGAAGGCCTGCAGGCCTGTCCGCTGTTCTGCTGTGCTGGTTGATTCATGTGAGGGGGAGCAGATGAAAAGAGAGGTACAGGCTTCTACCGTATTGGTGGTCCATCAGCTAGAGGTGTGAAATATGTGATTTAATACCAACATGTTCACATATTTTGTTACATAGCGGGTTTATAATAAAAGCAGAGGTACATCATCACAAAGAAATCTATTATGCCATGAGGCAAATATTCTCATTGATTTGCATAGTGACCTCCAAGAATCAAAGATGTCAAAGGGACAGATACATTGGCTGAAAAGGTATACTGGTATATTGAGCTGCAGTAGTTAGTCTTTTAGTCATTAGACAGATAATTCATCAGTAACTATTCTGGTAATCAATTCATCATTTATTCAAGCCATTTGACAAATAATAATAATGCAAAACATTTCCTAGTTCCAACTTCTTATTCAGAGTTGTTGCTGCTGTTCTTGTTTTCTGTCTTATGTGACTGTAAATATGTTTGTTTTGGACTGTTGGTCGGACAGAACAAGCTATTAGTGAAGGACTTGAGTCACTATTTGGATCCATGATGAACAATAGATTTATGTAATCTCACTGTATGTCGTCCTTCCAATGAACAAAGAGAGAAATGATGGGACTGAAAGGAATATGGTCATGTCATGTGATCCATAATGTGAGCTGTAGATAGCAGTAGAAATGATTCTATTGATTAAAGACGCATTACAAGAACAAATTGAATCAAGTAAACAAGCATAAATCTCTACAGGACCGTGGGCTCTGGAAACCTTTTTCACTATTTTGGACATTTCATTAACCCAACAATGAATCAATGGACATTGGAACATAAAGAGCAAATGAACTGATCATTTAACAACCTTTGTCTTGACACTGAACATAAAAGCACTCTGAAAGCCTGAAGTAGTTTACTCTGATTACTTTTGACCTGTTCCGGTCATTCATTCAACAACCTGGACAATACGTTTGAATGCAACAGAGCAGAAGGATTTTATGACCTCATCAAATAATAAAGGAGGAAAAGAGCGGTTTGATAGAATGCAACAGGAGATAAGCAGAGGAGCAGATCAGAGATAGCTGCTGGGCAAAGGTCATCTGAATGAACCAATGAAAGTTGCCAAAGCCTGCTCAGAGTTTTACACTTTACTTATTCTTGGCTCATCTTATTCTCATTTTTATTCATTTACATTAGAATTTTGGAGGTAAAGTTTTTGAAAAAGTTTTATAGAGCAAAGTATCATTTTGGGATGTGTAAAATCAAAGTCCAGGTATCGTAAATACTGTTCTGTGTGACTGAGATGTGTCAGCCGCCTCCATGCTAGCAGCCTCACTGGCAGCCAAGCCACTGGTCATACCGTTGCAATCTTTAATCTGAAATCCACTGGTTTATTGTAGACTGTATTCTGCTTCTAGAATGCTTGTGTTTCAACACCACTTCATATTTGACAACTTCGATTTCTTTTGTCAAATTAAAAAGTTTTTTTTAGAGAAAAACATGTTAAGCAAGGTATTGACAAATACGTGTGTGTGTGTGTGTGTGTGTGTGTACATATATGTGTATGTGTGTATATATATATATATATACATATATGTGTA